CATTGGAACGGGCTCCCCAGGGAGGTGGTGGAGTCACTATCCCTGGAGGTGTTCAAAAAACATTTAGATGTGGCGCTTCGAGACATAGTTTAGTGGGTTTAGCGGGCATGGTGGTGTCAGGTATACGGTTGGACTTGATGATCTTTGAGGTCTCTTCCAACCATAATGATTCTATGATTCTGTGATGTCTGAGCTGCCTCGTCTTAGTAACTGCGGACATCAGTTCACGGGGATCATATAGTGTGGCGAGGGACTTGGGGACAGGATGGGTTTCAGGATTTAGGGTGGATCGGGACTGTGATGGATACTCTCTCTACCTCCATTGTTCTGTGTGTAAAATGGAAGGATGCAACTGAAACATTTGCTTTGAGAACCTGTAGAAGTCAATTGGTTGTTATTAGCTAACCTTCCTGGATGGTATTTCAGGTGGATGCGAGAAGGCAGGTTGAATTGCTGCAAAGAGCCGAATATCTCAGCTGTGCATGGAGCTGGGGATGTCAGAGGTGTTTGGTGCTGACAGGGAATATTGAGGATGACTCTTTGGAGACCCTTGTGCTTTCCCTTAGGAGCATTCCTTTGTCCTTTCAGTTCTTAATGAGGTCTCCTGTGTTCACTCACCTGGGGAGGGAGAGAAAAGCTTTCAGTCCTGCGGCTTCTTTATCTGGAAAACTCAGGAAAAGCTTGCGTGATCAGCCAGAAGGTCACAAGTGCTTCTGCACAGAAACATCATGGTGCAGAGGGTTTGCCCAGAAGTATCCCCAGGCCCCAGCCTGCTTCTGCTGCTTTTGCAGGCAGGACAAAGACGTCAGGCTTTGGGAAAGGCAAGCCTGTGCATTCACCCTTGGTGCAGTACCAGGGGAGAATTACAGCCCTGGCTTTCCTAGCAAGGCTGCAGCTTTGTACTTCTGGGCCTGATACCTCTTTTGCAGGCTATCAGAGTGCCACTCCTTGTGTCCCTGGTGACTCCCAGATCTGAGTGGAGCCTCTCAAAGACATGGGCGCTGGCAAGCCCAGCTCAGCACGCTGTGCTTCGTTGAGTGTTGCCAAGTATCATTTTTCTTTTACCTCCTTGTTCCTGGATTTAATAAATCCAGAACTATCCACCCTCCAACTGAGCCAGAATCCTCCCACCATCAAACATGCCCCATTTTATGCCTTCCCTATCTGACAAGGAAAATAATCTCCCCTACTTTTCTCCTTCATGCTTCTCTGTCTAAATCCTGAAGCCCTAATCCTGTTAGTGTGCTCTGTTCCAGGGCTCTGTCTCCACGGGAGTAACATAAGCCTGCAGTAAATCTAGTGGGTCCAGAGGGACACATACATACGGATGAAGGCAGGGCTGCTGCCATCCTTGGCCTTCTCCTCTGCCTCCCCTAGCCACTTTCTTTAGCTCCCCAAGAAATGGCATAGCGGCCAAGCAGCACAATAAATAAAGCGGGAGAGAGGTTACCTCCTGCCCCCTCCCTGACTCGCTGCCTGTTCGACTTCACAGTGCTTTTTGTCTCCCTGTCCTTCACTCCCTTCACTCCAAACTGCCATTGGCACAATTCCCATACCCACTGGAACTAATGCAGCTTCAGAAATCCCCCCATCACCCTGTGGCGGTTCCAACATATCAGAAATACAACTTGAAAGTGTTGGTGTGGAGCTTGCATGTGTGTGCACATGGAAAACTTGCCCAATCCTCCTCTAGCCTAGACATCATCTCCCAACATTTGCTTTCTTCAGCAAATTAATTAAGCAGGTCAGCTCTCATTGATTATCAATTTCACTTTACATGTAGTCCTGCCGACTGGACTAAACCAGAAATAAACGTAACGTATACGGGGAGGAGATGGGCAGCTTTTTGATGCGGCAGTGAAAATGAGTTCCCTTGACTGCTTCTTGGAAGGTGCTTTTAATTTGTTAATGGTTTTCCTATTCGTCTTCTGGCTCCATCACCCTTCAGCGTGTGTGCGTGTGCACGCGCCTGCGCATGTCTGCTCTCTGCTGAGTATGTATCTATCTATCTCCCTACATCACAGCCAGATTTTTTTTTCTGCTGGTGTAAATTACTGTGACTTCTTATACTTCGATGGCGATATGTTGATTTACACCATTTGAAGACTTGGCTGAAAATATGTGCTGAGTGGGATGGGAAGCAGATAGGATGGGAGGAATAGCAATGTTCTATTTTGGTAAGGGGGAAGAAATCTTTGCTTTCTTGGCGCTCCCAATTTCACACATTTTCCTGCTAGTTCTTCCCATGCCGTGAGTGCTAATTTGAGGCAGGATGTAGAGCCTGTTCAAGTCAATGGGACTCTCTCCATGGTGCGCTTGGTCTCTGGGGTCGGCATTTTCAGTGCAGAGAAACCAGATGCTCAGGGTCAGACCCTGGTCAGAAGTGTCAGGACCTGCGGGCTCATCATGCATTTCCACTTGGGAAGGAGGCTGAAAGGCCAGGCACATGGGAGAACCCTGCTTCTCTGACAGCACTAAGCACTCGCCCTCTGAAAATGGCCCCTTTCTGTTATGCTGAACGGAGTGCGGAACAGTGACTTGCTATGATCAGTTGGGGCTTTTCAGGAGCAAGGTTCACTGGGGCAGATCCTGCCAATGCAGCTGATACTAGAGCTGGAAGTCAGGTGCTGTTTCTGCCCTCATAAACTGGCAGTCCAGAGTGTCAAGGCCCGATTCAGAGTTACATAGCTTGTTGCATGTGATCTAGTCTGAGGAAATTACTGGGCCCCAAATCTAAAGCAGAATTGAACTTGCTCCCCTTGGAAGCAGGTGGTTGGGACTAAGGTCATGTAAGAGATGCTTTCAGCATTGCATGTGGTAGTGATAAAGTTTTTGGGTTCAGTCCTGCTTCTGCTTTCTGTCAAGCTTGACTTTGCAGAAGTCAGCAACAAGTTATGCTCGTGTAAATTTGGATTCTGGCCCCTGATGCTTGTATGTGCGAAGTGAGCTAAAAAAGAACAAAACTGGAAATATGTTAAACCAAAAAGAGCAGCAAACCTCGTCAGTGACTGTTAAACATGCTGGTCCATATGCAACCTTTGGCTCATGGAGTCTTCAAACTGCGGATTGTGGGAAGCGAAGAGAGGTTGCCAGGAGAAGACTCCCCCAGGCTTGCTGCCTCTGGGGATCTGCTGGGGCCACCATCAGGAGCAGCCCCCTGAGACAAATGGACCTTTGGGCTGACCTGACATGTGGCTCCTCATGCTGAAAGAGTTGCACTGGCTCAGATAAACATTTCCTGTCCTCCGGTGTGAGGTTCAGAGGTAAGATGTTGGTGTCGGCTTCTGTGCTGACATAAAGCTGGAGGCTTTGCTGTACTGTGGAAATGTATTCTTTCAGCCTGTGTGTGTGTGTGTTCCTACAGGTTTACAAGGCACACACACACAGACGCATGCCTGGAGAGTGTTTCACAGTCACCACTCTTCTTATAGACCTCCTGCTGGAAAAAAGGGTATTTGGTGTCTGCTGAGCAAGGAAAAGAATGGGAAGTGGGGTCAGACAGGATAAAATAGGATATTAAAAACACATAAACCATGCTGTGTTGCTAAACGGTAGCAGCATGATATATATTCTCCAGATTAGCATTTCTGCTCAAGTTCACATCAACCCCAAATCCCAATTACCAGCCAGACTTGCAACCAGGGCCCTGTGGGGGGGGGCCGCTCCCTGCCCTGGCAGGAGTGCCGCTGTCCTGGGCTGCACATGGTGCACAGGGGCAGCCCAGAGCTGGTTGTGGTGCTGCCCACAGCTGCTGTCCCTCTCTGCAAACAGCCTCTACTCGCCCTGGCCTGCTGGATCCTGGCAGAAGAGCAGTAACATGTGCCGTCTGCAGGCCTAGAGCTGTGAGAGGCTTACTAAATGCTGCTTAACCCCTGTTCGAGGTGAGAGGCCCGGATACAGCCTCACCCCGTTTTCTGTCCCAGATCACAGGGATCTGCAATTGAATTGTTTGGCTCTTGCCTCTGACGGAAGATCGGTGTCAGAGATTATACTCTCCTGCTTCGCTCTGAGATAAACTTCGTGGGAGCTCCTGTGCTTAGCGTGGCATATGCAGGGTAGGAGCCTGCAGAGGAGCCCAGCCACTATCTCCATGTGGATGCGGCTCCTGGCTCAGATCAGAGGATGCTCTAGCCCTGTCCTGAGATCCTGCGAGCTTGGAGGGAAAGCAGGCAGTGCCTGCAGCCTCGGTCTGTGAGCTTTAGTGCTTTGTGCTGGGGGCAGAGAAAGGATTGAGAATTACCCTTAGGTTGAGTGTTTCCTCTTTCCCCCCCCTTCTTCTCTGCTGTGGCTCAGCAGCCTGAAACAGAAACAAAAGTATCCAGTCCTTGTCTGGCCTATTAAAATAATGGGAAGGAGGGGTGGATCTAACATCCATCTGGTAGTTATTGATTATGGCCATCTGGTAAGGCAGCGGCCTTTTCATATCATGTTGGATCATAAACTCTCCCAAACAGCTGTCTCTGTGTGGTGGGCTGCACGTGCACTGGAGAGGCAGGGACGAGGGGCTGGCCGGGATGGTGCCTTGTTGCCCCAGGCAGAGGCAGCATCCTCGCTGCTCATGCCGCTGCTTGCACATGATGTTTCCCTGTGGAGCTCAGTGCAAGGACATATCAGGATGTCAGCCCTTTTACCTGCGGAGGGGAGGCAAGATCTCATGCAGTGTTTCGGGACATCTGGCCTTTTGCAGCAGCTCTAGGTTTGGGGGTGAGCTCAGAGCAGCTGTGGCCTGATAGCTGGAGGTGCCTTGGGGTGCCATGAGAGGCAGCAGGGCGGCAAGCTCCTGGGTCTCCTGCTTGATGGGTGAGCCTGTCCACCATGCTGTCCTGCCAGCAGCTCAGCTCTCCCTGCGTTCCCCTGGGTCCTTGACCTGACCGGAGGCTGACCCTGCCCAGAAAGCATCTCCTCAGTTTCCCCTGCTGAGATTATTTCGACCGCTGATCTGGTTATTTCTTTATGCCTAGAGAGGATGTAACCTTATTTGTGCCCCCTCTCCCCTGCAGACATTTCAGGCCAACGAGGATGCCACGGAGGTGGTTCTCAACAAGATCCACAGCCCGGTGCTCACACGCTTCGTGCGCATCCGTCCCCAGAGCTGGCACAATGGCATCGCCCTGAGGCTGGAGCTGTATGGCTGCCGCATCACTGGTGAGGGTCCCCTCCTCCCCTCGGCCTCAGCCATCCTTTCTGTCCCTCCAACAGCCTATCCTGAGGTGCTGTCCTCCGCAGCTGTCATGGCTGCGTGGGGTGGGAATTGTGACACTGTGAGCAGCATGGAGGGACCCATACCAAGGGATGTGCTTGGGGGCACAGTCACCCAGGCCCCGGAGGCAAGGGGGAAGCACCCAGTGCTGGTGCTGGTTTAGTGCCCAGAGCTTAAACCTGCAGGGAAAACCAGGAGCGCTCCCTTCAGCTGCCCCGGCTGTTCATACACTTTCCTTCCCTGCAGATTCACCCTGCTCCAACTTGCTGGGCATGCTTTCTGGCCTCATCCCTGACTCGCAGATCTCGGCCTCTTCCATCAGAGGATATGACTGGTCTCCCAGCATGGCCCGCCTGGTGAGCAGCCGCTCGGGTTGGTTTCCCCGTGTCCCCCAGGCCCAGCCTGGGGAGGAGTGGCTGCAGGTGGACCTTGGCATCCCGAAGAATATCAAAGGCGTCATTATCCAGGGGGCTCGAGGAGGGGACAGTATGACCACCACGGAGTCCCGCTCCTTCGTGAAGAAGTTTAAGGTGGCCTACAGCATGAATGGAAAAGACTGGGACTTCATCCAGGACCCCAAAACAATGCAACCCAAGGTAGGCACTGCCTGGAGCAGCTGCAAAAAGAGATATGTTTCTTACTATCTTCAGTCTGCCTGATGAGGTCTTGGGAAATTAGCTGTCTCTCCCCATAGAGACCTTGGGAGTTTGGGTTGTTACCATAAAATTCCAGGTTGTGTCCCCTGGTCCTGCTCCTAAGCTGTACTAGAGGCTGTAGGTTCCACCTTGCCCCAGGGATGGCAATTTCCCTTCATTTCTTACTGTGGACCAGGCCTAGGGATGTGGACATCGCCTTCCTGGTGGACACACCTACAAGATGGTGTGTTCGATTATGTTTGAAAGAAACTAATTGTGTATTTTAAGGGGAAAGGTGCTGCTGTTGTGGCTTGCACATCTGGAAGAGGAAGATGAATCACAACTTCCTGTTGGGAAATTTGCTGTATCTGAAGTCCCTTTTGCCACACTGGTGTGACCCTGAAATTCCCTGTGTTTTTCCCATATCGCTGGAGTTCCTCATAATTTTTCTACTTAGCAGTATGGGAGTGACAGGGGGCTTGAGGAATAAATGAATTCTGTGCTACTGCCTGTTCTGTTTTTATGCAAACTCATCTGCTTCTGAAAATTTGAGTAAGTTTTAATTTTTCCTGGTCCTACAAATGAGTCTTGAAAGGCCTGATGCTATCTATAGCCCTCTGTTTATTCCCCACAGACTTGAGTTCGTGCACATAAGCTGAAAAGCAGCAGTACTTGGACTGTGAGGAAAACTGGGCGTTTACACTATCCTAGAACATGCAGTAGCTTCTTTATTTGCCAAAGGACAAATCTGATCTTATTTATATGTGAAGTTAGTGGATGTTCCCCAGGCTTCCCCTGCATGGCTTGGATCAGAATCTAACCCTTGGATATAAAGCAGAGGACAAGAGAGATTGTGCAAGTTTCTTAGAAACAGCCTGTCTGGTCCTCTTGAAACTGAGAAGGAACAGCCCAATTTCTGCTCAGCTGGACTCAATGGCCCAGAGTCGGACAGCTAAACTATTTCAAACTGTGGCTGTGTCCTGCCAGACTGAAATTATCAAGTCTGGCAAAGAGCATGTGGGATGCACTCATCACTTGCCTTCTCTCTCTCTCTCTCTCTAGCTTTTTGAAGGCAACATCCACTATGATATCCCTGAAGTCCGGAGGTTTGACCCTGTTCCTGCCCAGTACATCCGAGTGCACCCAGAGAGGTGGTCCCCGGCAGGAATAGGAATGCGCCTGGAGGTGCTGGGCTGTGACTGGACAGGTAGGAGCCTCTGTGCCTCTGCCCACTGACTCAGTCGGGGCTGCAGCAGGCACTAAACCAGCAAGGTGCAAGTGAAGGGTTATTTCTCTCCCTGCTCTCTCACTTCAGGGCCATGCCATGGCAGGGAGACTGCAGTCATGAAGGCAGGACCTGTGGTGTGGCCTGACCCCATCCTTTTACTTCCACCTTAAAAGGCACTGGCCTTGATGCAGGATGCAGCAGCAATTTTTGGCCCCCAATCCAAGCTTTCACATAGAGCATGCAGGATTTGTCCCCAACTCCCTTCTCCCTCCTTTCACATCTTTTATCTGGATGTTGTGCAGGCTTTCCAAGTCTCTGTGTTAGGCAACATTTGGGCTTTTTAATTCAAATGGGTAAGAAAAGCAGAGGTGCAGAAGGGTGGTGCAGTGACCAATACAGTTATCTTGAGCTGCCACATTAAGACTTTGCCGTGAAAACAACTGTCCCTCTCTTGTTGAACCCCATGTGGAAATCCTTTTGCAGACAAGGTTGGGGATTTAACTCTGTGATGTCTCTACAACATCCCTAGGACCAGGGAAGTTTGTTCACTTTTGCCCACCTATTTTTCACAAGTGGTATGCCTTGCAGCCACCATTGTTTTTCATACAGAGGTGAAAACTGTCTAACACACTCACTGGGATCAGTAGGTCCCAGTTGTGCCTCTGAGGCTCAGTGGTGATTGATTGCTCCATAGTTTCATGCCCAAAAGCGAAAAATGCACCCAACAGCTCATTGGGTCTGATGCTAGCTGTTCAGTGCCAGGGGCTGGCTTGTCCCTTTTTATAATCTATTTTATTTTTAAATAATCTGCTTAAATCTGAATCTGGTGTCCAGATGTCAGTGATAAAGAGGTATGATTTCCATTTTATAAACACATCTGTAGAAGGCATTTTCTTGTAAGAATTCCCATTCTAGGAAGCTTAAAAGACACAGAGCTTTTTTCTGCCCTTTTGTGGAGTCTTTACTACCCTTTCCTCCTGTGATGTGCTGTGAGGTACATCACAAACACTTAACAGCAAATAACACAACACATGCACACACAATTTATAATGATCATTTGTCACCTTTGAAGTCAGTGGCAAATCTCCCCCTGGACTGGGAATCTATTGTGAATGATCTAAACTTTAAGTCAAGATTAGATCTTAATTTAAGTCTTACAACATCTTTGGGATGTTGTAGGAGAAGCAGGTGCCGTGGGTTTCATGCAAGCAGCGGGAGCTGAAGCTCCGTGCAGAAGTGGTTGGGCAGATCCCACATCACTGCTTCCTGCAGCTCCCAGGAGTCTCCAGCTGCCAGATCTGTGTAGACCATTGCTGGCTGGTGCATCACAGTGCTGCATCACTGCTGCAAAGGAAGGCAGTCGCACAAGACCTCCGACCATGTACATGTCAGCCCCTCCATTGCACTCCTCCAAATTAACGAGTAAGAGGGGTTTGGCATCCTCAACTTCTTGTGCTATTTTTGGTCCAAATTTTCTTTTACAGCTATGTCCACACTCAGTTTCAATATCAGCAGCAACAGCCCATGTTTTTTCCAGGCAGGGTGCTTTATGGTCATTTCCCAGTGTGGCTGTCTAATCATTTGCACATTGTAATGTTTAAAACTAAACTGCCAAGTCATAAATATTCGTAGCTTTATTGATCTACAGGCATTCAGCTTTGTAATCAGAGCAGGGCTTGTAATCTTGTGGATTCACCATGTTATAAAAAGCATTTATATGCCTGGTGCAACCCGGGGAGCAGAGATAGCCCATGGCATTATCTGCATGCTAAATCCAGGCTGACTACATGCAGCAGTCCTTGACAACGCCAAGATGCAGCCCTCCTCTGCTGGGAGGACCCAGGCATGTTACAGAGCTGGCTGTGAAAACCCAGGCAATTGCACTTGCTTGGGAACAAGATTAAGAGATGGATTAAAACAAGCTGATGGAAAATATTTTCAAGTGAGGGCCTAAGCCCATGTGTACCCTGCCCAGCTGTTTCTGTTTCTTATCAGGAACTAGCATCTTAATTACTGAGCCAAACAGGTAACTTAACAGCAACTGGGCTCACAAACTAGTTGGCTAGTAACTCAAAGATTGGGAAGCAGGCAGTCAGCAATTGGCTTCTTTCAAAGACCTGCCAAAATTTTTCCTCTGAAGAGTGGAGATTGATGAACGTTCACTTGCAGCTGGTTTTCTCTCCTTTGAAGTTCCAGACATCTGGTTTCAATTGCTCAGTGACTTTGCATTTTGATCAGCAGTTACCACCAGTTGCACAGACACTTGCTGGGTCAGGAAGAGAGAAAGTAAGCAAGCAAGACCTTTCTTTTTCACTTTCCATTTCACATGTCACGTTGTCCTCCCTGCTATTTTCATTATCTCTTGTAACCATCGTGTTGCAGCTCTGCCATGGTAACTGATTTTTCAAGATATATTTCTGCGGCTTGTCCAGGGCGATGCAATACTGTTGATTTACATCCGCTCAGCACCTGTGTCCCGTATGGGACTTGGCTTTCAAGGTCCTTCCACATTGTCACATTTCAGCTATAAATCTCAATATACAAGAACAACAACCTAAAAAAATGTACCAGCTCTAAATAACTTGCAGCTTTTGATGTGTTGCCTTCACCTGCTGCCTTTTTTTTTCCTTTTCTCTTTTACGACATTTTTCTGTGCCTGGCTGCTTGCAATTTGCTTCTTGGTTGCATTTGGAGTTTTATGGGGTTGTAACAAATTTGAACTTACAAATTAAAAGACTTTGAGGTTATTTGGTATTTTATCCTGAACAAGAGACAGCCACTGGGGAAAAAAAAAGAAGTAAAAACACCCTGAGAGTTTATGTGCAACATGTTTAATAACAGGAAAATAAAAGGGCAGAAAGGAGCCTATGGAAAACATTCAGTGTATTTAGCCATTTCCTCCTGCTTCTGGCTTTATTAAATGATATCCTGAAGGGTGCTGACAAAGAAACACAATCATACATAACTGAGCAAAGCAGCCTCTTTTTAAAAGTGGAAAGAATCAAGCCTGCTGTACTCCAGTTAATGTACCCATGAAAGGAGAGACCACTGGAACCTAATGTCATTTACTGTTGATCTTAATATGCTTCCCTTTCTTGCTTAAATTTCCCCTGACACCTCCTTGGAGGTTGTTTCACATGGGCCATGTTGGAAAGAGAGAAGTTGGACAGAGACCCTTTGAAGGTGTAGTCAGGAGCCTGGAGCGTGAAACCAGATGCTTTCTGCAGCAAGCCAGAGCACGCTAGGGGATCCTCTGGGTCCATTTGCCGTTACGTCATTTGTGGGTTTAAGTGACTTATTTTATAAATTGACACAATTGGTGGGAATGCTGTGTGTGTTTTTTTAACGCATATGCCTTTATGAAAGAAAAAGACATTCTGCCTGTGATCTCTCTTATCCAGTAATGACAACTAAGCGGATTGCCCACACCAGTGTAGATTAAAAAATTAAGAGAAAAAGTAGCATGTATGTCTAGAGGAGAGCTGTCCAATGGGAACTCTAAATCAAAGGAACTCTCATATGGAAATAGCCAGTTCACCTGAAGTTCAAACCATGCTGATATTTGTAGCACGTGGAAATTTCATGGTATTCTTGTTCTATCTCTTCCTGCCTTTATAAGAACATGAGAAAAAGATTTTTTGCTTTGTTTCCTCCTGCGTGAGCTTTTTGTACTGTCTATTGCAAATAGCATCTCTACTCCAATTCTTTTCAGATGTAAAGCCCACTGCAGAGACACTGATGCCCACTATGAAGAGTGAAGAGACCACCACCCCATATCCAACTGATGAAGAGGTAACAGAGTGTGGTGATAGCTGTGGAGAAGAGGAGGGTATGTATCAGAGTGGCACATCTTTATCTCAATAAATGATGGGTTAAGAGCTAAGCAAATACTTTTAACTTCCCATTAGCTCCTATACATGGGGCTGATTCCTGGAAAGCTTAAAGTAATATTATTAGTGATAGGCCAAGATAAAAAAAAAAAACAAACAAAACCTGCCAAAATCTGATAAGTTATATCAAGGAAGGATGCAAGAGCAAGAGATAGCAGCTAATTCAGTCCCTAGGGTACAAGACTTGAAGAGCTGCTCTCCCAGCTTCCATATGTGACCTGAACAAACTCATTTAGTGCCCTGTTTAGAGCCCCCTCCATTCCAGAACCCCTTGGCTGGGTGTCATAAATTCAGAAGGTGATTCAGGGGAGAGATTCGGACTGCCTGGTATGCAGGGCTCGTTTTGTAGAGGTCACAGCTTTGGGAGTAAATTACAACATGTAGAGAAAGCTGATGTCCTGAACACCTATCTGTTAAGGATCATCTTCCTTAATATTAGCTGCTTAAAATTTAGGAGGGTTCTGGGCTCCTTGTGCAAGCAGCAGAGAGAGAACACTAACTCCAGGCAGGAGTTCGTCCTCCCAGTCTTAGATGGCTGTCAGATGTACAGGGAATGATTTGGTATCTGTGGTGCTTGCTTGCCTCTTCTGACTATAGAAGAGGCTGAATGTTAGTTTAGACTACATGCTGTGCTTGTTAAGAGCCAGTGCTGGGGCAGACTAATCTTCTCTGCCTCAGATCCCTACCTGTAAAAGCAGACGTCATATTCTTCTGCTCCTTGCAAGGGGGATGTGAGCATCTAAAGCTTGTGAAATGTCCAGATTAAGGGGAGAGGGCTTGGGGGAGCTGTGCAGGGTTAGCTGTACAGCGCAGTGTGCAGGAGATGCATGCTCAGGGGCACAACAGCAGAGCCTGGGCCTCAGCACTGGGGCTGGGGCATTTACACAAGGACTTCAATGAGAAATCTCACAAGGAAAAACTGTCCTTTGAGATAGCTCCTAGGACTTCCATCACTTCAGCTTCCAGTCACAGAGAAAAAATTAATGGGTTTTAAAATAAATAAAATTTAAAAAGAACATTAATTGACTTTTTCACACCTCCCATTGGGATTCTGCTGTAGTTCAGTTTTGGAAATGCAAGTTGCAAAGTAGCTCAAAGGGCCTGATTCTCATTGCTTTGCCTCGGTGGTAAGCCTGTGCAACCCTGCTACCATTGAGGCACTTGGGAAACTGCCGAGAGGAAATTTAGGCCAGTAATAATCTCTGCAACAACACAATTCCTGGGTGCAGTCCAGGGCAAGAGAGTGAGCAGAGTATGCTGTGGAGTGTGGAACCAGCCTCCCCGTCAGCTTCCCTCAGATTTAGCAACAATTTTAATTCTCATACTCCATAAACAATAAGTGTGTTTCTCTGAACAATCAGATTTATGACAGCCAAACAGAAACAATGCTGCTCTCCAGGGTATGAGATTAGATTCGAATAAAAGCATCCATGATCTGCATTGTTTTATTTCGGAGTGGGAGCATGTAAAGAAAGCCCTCTGCCCCTCACAGCAAAGGTCCTCTGATGCCTATCACTTGAGTCACTCACCTCCTTCTGGCTGTCGCTCACTTTGTGGGTACTGTGATTTAAAACTTCCTCTTTGCTTAGGAAAAACCCGGCCTATAATTGGTGTCTGACGTGCATGTCCGCTGAGTGCTTGGAATGGTCTCAGACCATTTCTGCAGCCTCCGTGCCTTATGGCTGCTTCCCCAACTGAAGGGGTCAGCAGCTGCCTCACTACTACATGCAGCCCCTGGCAAGTGCCCTCCTGCCCACAGACCTGTCTCTGCAGGAAGGCTCTCCAGAGCTTTCAAAGCTGTTGACACAGTGGAATTAGCTCTGCTCCTGTTTCATAGATGAAAAGTTAAATGACTCGCCCAAAGACCATGTGGTGAGTCCATAGCGGAGCTAGAAATAGAGGCTGGCTCCTTTCACTCAGAATCCAAAAGCTTGAGCTCATAGTGGCCCCATGTTTCCCCTGGTAGCATTTCCACGAGAAGGTAGGAAGCGGTGAGTGACAGCTCACCACGTTGACAGACAGCTCCCGTCTGGTGCAAGTGGCTAGATCTGTCACTCCGGAGCTGGGTTTCTGGAGCACTTGAGATTCTCCTTTTGGAGCCAGAGCAGGAACTGATGAGCACAGGGCACTCAGGAAGTGTTCTTCCCTGACATTTAAGAAGGCATTTAATATTTGACTGCTCTAGGGGATGAAGAGAAGGTGCTGATTAGAGTCTGGAAGCATTTGGTACTCGCTTTTATATTTGCTTAGTTTGGTGGATTAGCCGCAGGATGTGATGTGAGCATTTTGATGATGCAGAATTTAAGGCTGATCCCTGGAGCTGACGAAATGTGAGATAGGTTAAAAGCATCAGCATGAGTGAGATTTCATACTTTATTCAGTATTTATGGCTTGCCAACTATTTTAGTTTTGGGTTGATTTTTAATAGCAACCCTTCATGGGTAGGTCATTTTTTAATCCAACTTTATTTTGCTTCTATTTCTTTTTATAAGATTTCCACCTCCCTGTGAACTTCAACTGCAACTTTGATCGCCCTGAAGATCTCTGTGGTTGGTCACACAACTTGGCAATGGGTTATACGTGGTCTTTTCAGCCTACAAGCACTTGGATTGGCAGCTCTGAATCAAGCCCTGAGACTGTGCCTGGTAAGATGGTTAATACCATACCAAAGCAGGGGACAGGGAGCTGATGGGGCTTTTTCCATGTAAACGGTATGACTGGTTATTGCACAGCTATCAAGAGTTGTGAAGGCTGTGCAGAGATGAACGTTTTCTTTTGTGGAAGTTTTCAGATGCTTTGCTGTATGGTTCATGACTTATTTATAGGACTGTGACCACTGGCACTGAATTATGCTAACTATCCTCTTGAGATAGCCTTGAATCAGATGCTTGGGCTTTGAATCCTCTGTGACCGTCAAGGTTAGCCCAGGCTTTGTTCCACATCCTGATCCAAATGTCCTCTATAGGACCCCCAGAATGCATTTCCTCTTTTGTTAGAGATGCATTTCTTCCTCCCATATGTTGCTCGTATTGCCTGTAGTCTTCAGCTATTCTGTACTCTGGGCTTGCATAGGCTGGATTTCAGCCTCCTCCAAGTGAAGGATGAGCTAAACCCTAAGAATGCTGAAATATGCCAGCTTCTTGCTGTTTGACTTTTGCTCTTTTTCTCTTCTGTGCTTTGAAAGCAAAAGCTCTGCATGAGTGTGGCAGAGCCTAATTTATGGAGGACTTCACTGAGATGTGCTGGCATGGGTTGTGAGGGAGCCTGCCTCTGGCAGTGTGGTTGATAGATCAAGTTCTTCAGCTTCCCATCTTGGAACTCGCCCCAGGACTAGTGCCCTTTCCTTACCCTCATTGACTTTGTGGCATGGGTGGCATGAAGAATATTTGCCAGTTTCCTTTTAACAGTAGACTGTATCACCATAGCATCACTTCTCTTCACTATCAGTCATTGCTTATGAAACTCAAGGCTCCCCCAGGGAAAACTGGCTGATCTTACCTGTCTTCAGCTCTGTCCTAATGCCCGGTGACTCCAGTGTCTGCATGCCATGTACCCAGGGAGTCGCACATG